ATTGCTAGTATCACTTACTTTTGACGTAAACAGTACTTCCACTTGGCAAGACGACTACATTGGAGGCTGGACTGGCGGGTCTGGGGGACTTCACTGTCGCTACACTGCCACTTGGAACAGGGGTAGATGTTGGGGTTGAAGTGGTACTTGTGTAGGAATAGCAAACCACCACTGAAGAGGAGAAAAGACACCTTCCGTATAACTGAAGTGCAGAATCCCATTATTCTATCACTATTTTAACAATTGAAATGGAAGCCAAAGACTTATTGGGTCATTATCCACATCTTTGCCTCTGCAGTCCTGTTACTGTTGAATACTCCCCAGTTTGACCTAAGCAGGGCAATGGAATTAACGGCCTTTAAAGACAATGTAGAAATCTAACCTCCCCTCCTCCCGTCCCCAGAAATCTGTGCTAGAATTTTTTTTTTTATTTGTATTTATCCAATGTTTTACAACTCGTTCTTTTTCATTTTAGCATTAATTCAGTATTTCGACCTTTCTGCTTTTCTGTAAATGCCCATATCTAGACTGGTAACTGACAGAAAACAGCTAGTGCCTCTCCTGAACTGTACATCAGTTGAATAAACCAAAATAGGCCTTCAGCAATGCACAACTGATTTTGCTAATCAGCATCTTAACACTGGTGCTTATAAGTAATAGTACAATGATCCAGTATGTCTCACATAAACCAGAATAAAACAGCCTATTTCAAGAAATGTTACACATTCTCTAGTTGCATGAAGCATAATTCGACCCTGTTCAAGCCAAGTTAGATGGAATGTGTACTAGCATTATTTAAAAGGCATAGGGAAAGCAGAAAGCACTTTTAACTTGGTAACCTGGTATGTTTAATCTGAAGTAAAAAAAAACAAAAAAACAAAAAACAAACACACCATCACCAAAAAAGAAAACCACTTAATTTTTCTTGACGTTCACCAAAACCTATCTGCATTCTTAAAATAGTGTTCTGAAACATCTTTCATCACGTACAGAACTTTACAAAATCTTAAGCCATCAGTCCAAGTTATTATAGTTTACAGAGCTTAAGTCATCCAGTGAATTTCCCCCTTATTTCCTGGCAATTTGGGTTTTTTTCAGTTGCTAGTGTGCTCACTAATACAAAGCTGTCAGATTTATGCTGCAGGTGCTGCAAAGGCATCTTTTAAAAAAAAAAAAGATTTTTTTTTTTTTGATATTTCTATGAATACTGTGCAATAAGAATGATTCAGATTCTTTTTAAAAAACCACCTAACACTTAAAACCTGAGATAACAATTTATACTGTGACATTATTTTTATATTCCCACAGATTGCAGTAGAATCCCGGCTTTCTCTCACCTTCTTTGTTTCCAGTTTCTGCAGGAACTGGAAGAGATGCGTTGTGCTGAACAGCTGCATTGGCAACAGCATTAGCGGTAACAGTAAAAGCTGTTTGTGGAACAAGCCGTGGCATCAGCGGCACCAGTCGACGACCTTCTATAGACCATTCCGAAGAGCTATTTGGTCCAGACATACTAAACAGAAATGCACATTCCGTAAATATTCTGCCGAGTTTCCAAAATCTCAGTAATCTTATTTAAGTGCCTTTTTTTCCAACAGTGGAAGTCTAAAAGGCAGTTTCTAAAGACATCCTAGAGCAATAATCTTCAACTTTCTTCATGTCATGAAAGCCCTTACATTTTTCCCACCTGATTATCCTCCCACAGAAGATTTAAGAGTGGCTGCTTCTTTTACTGTTTTGTTTTACGGAGCCCTTAAAGGGCCAGAGGTCTGTGGACGTCACGTCATGTTCAAAAGCCCCGTGTCAGATTAGCTACTGTCAGGTAGAGCTGGTACACTCTCTACTTCTGGATGACAAAAATGTGTTACGGGGAAGAACCCTTGGCTTCTAATGCAAATCTTGTTTTACCTGAACAGAAAAGTTTCTCAGCCCTATTAAAGTAGTCCCAAACAAGGTAACAGAACATTAAATGATTCAAATACGCCCTGTGCATCTTCCTCAATAGAAATCAGCCTGCTGCTTTCATTTTCTCTTAACCTTAGTACTTAGGCACAAACTAGAATGGTTCCAAAAAATGTTGTTCTTATCTAGCTGGAGAAGTGGTTCTGTTTATGACTGGTTTACATGAGTCATTTGTCAAATCAGCAAAACTAAAATGGCAAATTATTTTTCAGTGCTGTTACGTTCTTAAGCAAAGCAACCCATCTAATATATTAATATATTCTGAAAAGCAACTTCTCACATGAACTATTACAAGCAAGTTGCAGCAAAAGCTATCACAAATTAGTTCGTAAAACGCAGAAGATCTGCTGTGTTGTTAAATCCTGATATGCTTCAGTGTTCTTTGTACATACTCATGTAGTATAAGCAGAGCTACAACAGCTGAGGGAAAAAATACGTTTTTAAAATCAAAAATAAGACTACAAATGTTGCCTATAGCAAAGCTCACTTTCCTATTGAGTTAGAGCATTATTTAAGTCAAATGCTGTATTACCAACCATCACTTAGAAAGAATTACCACACAAAAAAATAAAGAGATGCAGCACTTCACAGTTGCACCTTGTCTGGATTATAATCTCATATGTTTGAAGTTCAACGCCTCAGGACAAACTTTATATTCGTTCTGTAAAATGCTAAAGACAGAACTACTGCTTAAAACGGAAACTTGATTCAATAAAAGAGTCCTGATTTGACAATTAAATGCTTATTTTTCACTGTTTTTTTCCCCTTTCTTTAAAGAAGTGCAAGAAACTTGGCAGGTTTTGTTTGGTAAGCAGCCTATTTCGAACTCCTTAAACTTGAACGTTACAACACTAAAATGTTAAATGTCCTTCCACAGCGCTAAACCAGTATGCTGATTTTGGCAAGTCCCGGATCACACAATTGCCAACTCCGAGCGGCCTGCTATTTGAATGATCTCCTTTTTTTTCCTCCCCATAACACCTAAGCTACAGGAGCCAAACTTATAAATCAATGGTTATAACACAGAAAGAGAAATACAGACACTTACAATCCAGTTCTGACTAGTAAGACTGTTAAGTAACCATCAGAGATACGTAAGGACTTGCCCTCTTGCTCCTCTCCACCTCTCAAAATCATGTGCAGCTTGTGAAAGCAAACACAAGGAGGAACCAGCCCAGTTGATGCCAGCACAGCAGCTGCATCAAGCAGAGAACAGCGGACACTGATGTCATCAGTTAGCTTGCTGCAGGTTTTTTTTTCACTCTGACCATTTTTTTTTCTCCCCTCTGTGCTGATACACTGTTTTCCACTAATCTCTGCCACCTCTTTCCCCCCCTTTGTCTTGCTGCGTAGTTAAGTCCCTCTTAAAAGAACCTTTCTAAACAGTTTTAAATAAAATTAAACGTAAACCAAAAAATAATAAAGCAAACATGTTCATCCTGCTTATGCATTTCTCTCTTTACTCTGTTTCTTCTGGTCTATCTTACAGAAGGCTCTTGGTGACAAAAGGCTTTCTTACGCTGTACTTGTACAGTGAATAGGATGCCTTCAGATGCAAAAAGCAACAGAATACTGTTAATAAACGGTTTCTAGTTCCCTGATGTAAACCTGACACAACAATTCCTTCATCCATGCACGCTTTTAACTACTGTTCTTTAAAACACCATCAACCATCAAAGTTCTATCAGTCAGTTAAGGCACAGTGGATTCTCCAAAGGGTACCTTAGGAAATCGCATAGAAAATTACCTATAACTTACTTGTGTGCAATAGTCGTTAGTCGTTCATCATTTACTGCTCTCCGAACTTCAGCACGATGTCGCTCCGTTGAAATACTATTAAAAAAAAAAAAAGCAATGTATTTTAGTGAGATGGAGACACGAACGTTTATCTAAAACTTCTAGCTAAGATGAAACTTGTGAATAATCCACTCAAGAGAGGAAAACGAACAGGCATTTACATTTAAGAGATCGTCACTTAACTTTTTCTATCACAGGGAGAAAGGATGAACGTGTTATTGTTCAAAAATGTTACTGAAGAATAAGAAGAACATTACTGTTCATAGGGTACCCCTGCAAAGCAGCTAGAATCCAACCCCCTAAGGAGAGCAACTGATTTAAAGCACGCAGTAGAAAAATTTGCACAGAACGTGCAGCGTTCTGTCTTAATGTAAGTTGGGCCCAAAGCCCTTCAAGTCCTACCTTGATGGAACTCCAAGCCAGCGTACACTCATGTGTCAGCTGCAATGATTCTAACACTCAGTATCTCCCAAAACACCAACAAGACAGTAAAGCACAGAAGCACAGTTGTTTTCCTTACTAAAAACTCCAAGCAGAAGAGGAATCAAATCTCCACAAGATGGAGAATTACTTCTCTAAATTAAGATTTGCTTTGTGACACTAGTAATAGAAAAAGCACGCGATACCTTCAAAGAAAACAGGTCATCGGTTCTTATTTTAAAAAGGTCAGGGTTACCTAAGCACTTTAGAGAGTTCTCCAAGAAGATCCTTCTTCTCTTTCGTAAGGTCTCCCTGTGCACGTAAGGCACTGATGACACCTGCATATGCCTCCAGTTCTGAAGAATTAGAGCAAACAGTATTTCTATTTAATGCTCACAGCAAAGGAAAAAAAAAAATTACATTATTTTCAGTATTACTGACAGCATTCTATTAATTTTCAAAACCATTACAATGCACATGCCTTTCAATTATTTATCGCTTTTCAAAAGAGGCTGACGATTTAGAACTCTCTCAATCAATTACTCTGCAGCATACAGCTTTTCTATGAAACAATTGTATCATCATGGAGGATTATCTGGTGTATAAACCCAACTGAGTATTTCAAGCTCCCTCTGAGCTGACAGTTCAGCCAGAAAGCTTGAAGAAACAGTCCCCACATTTGGAGAGTAGCTCAGAATTCTCTAGAAACAGGGGGGAAAAAAAAAAAAAAAAAAATCTTTAAAACACATCATTATTAAAAGTTCCATGGAAAAGCTTGCCTTGAAAAAGAAATACACCATCAAAAAAGCAACTGATTTTTTTCCTAATGCTTTCCTTAATTAGCACAGAACATCAGCTACAGTTTGTTAAATACAATCATCATAATCTTTTATGACCATTTACTTGATATGTACAACTGCTTGAATCTGAAAAGAATGTAACACACCGAATTAAACCTGCCCAACACAAAAGAAACAATCCAGCTCTTCTTAAACTAGAGCCATCATGAAGATTAACTCACAAAAAACACAACTGATTTAACGTAAGTTTCTAATTCCAGGTGACCTATGTAAACGTCATGCCATGGATGTTTTAAGAAGTAGAATAGTTAAAGGCTATTGAAACTTCTGATTTTTGTCCTACTAAGCAGGGTGAAAATACACCTGATGCAACTAATGGAGTCTGCTAATTTGCCAAAGAATGACTTGCTATTTTGGGTTAGCACAGTTTAAGGAAACTGTTACTGAAACTTCTGCTTTAAACTAGAAAGACAAATTCTTTCGGTGTTTACATAGGTGCCTTTCAGCAGCCAACCAAACCAACCCCACAACACATCCCAGTTAACCAAAAGCGAGAATAAAAGGGGCATGCCAAAACCTAACACCTCTGAAGTCTGCTGCAAAAGAAAGACCCATGCTATTCTGAAAAGCTTTCAGATTAGGATTCCAAAGAGCTAATTTACAAATCAAATCAAGGAATTGTGCTGAAAAGAAGTCCTGCTCTCCTGTCCTGATTAGGCAGACAAAACACAAAGCAGAGTTACTTTGGTTAACCATGCAGCCTGCACAGGGATGCTGAGTGACCTACAGAGGCATTTGCAGCTTCAGTTATAAAACATTTGCTAATTAATGCAATGGTTATTACTAATATCAACATTTATTTAGACAACCATGTTACAATATTTAAGATACTAATTATTTTCCTCTGTTAACAACATAAAGTAATTCTCAGATACAACCGTATAATTATTTAGTGAGGATAGATTTTTTTTTTTTTTTCTTTCTGCATTTTTAATAGAGATCCTCTACACTAGAGCTCTAAAAATGCACGTTCTGGCTTTTCAGAAGCCAGTAAAGATTACAGAACTGCTGTAACTACCTTCCTCACCCCTATGTCTATGTAGCGATCACTAACTGGCGTGCTCTCCTTCCAACAGGAAACACATCACGTATTTATTTCACAAATAAGTATCATCATCTCAAGTGTAAGGTGCTACCAGCATCCCCTTATTCAGTTATAAACCACGAACGCCGCAGAACAATGTTCGGTATTGCACACCTCAGGATGCATTTCAGCCTCACCTACACCTTTGCATTTCACTCATTACGGATTACCCCGCTACTGCTGAATGGTCAAACCAAATCAGGTGTTGGGCTGAGAGCTGGGAAAGCAGGACTCTCTAAAACGGCTGGGTATTGCTGGACATGACTGTCAGATGGCTGTTCGCTCCCACTGCCCATGCTCCTTTCCCTTCCAGTCTTGTGGTGCATCCATTTAAACTGAGAGCTTCTCTACCCTAGAAGAGACAGGGCTGCTACGGGCTCTGATCCTCTCTCACACTGGCAGGGCCCCCTTGTGGGGACACAGCTCATGCCAGTAAAAAAAAAAAAAAAAAAAGATTTTTATTTTATTTTATTTTTTTTGTTCCCCCCCGCCCGTCAGCCTAGGTTATGTCATTGAAGGAGGTGTAGCTGCAGTTCTGTTTGGCTCAGCTGCACCAGCAGGGTTCTGCCAGCACACCGCCGTCAGCTGGGCTGAGAAGTTGGGGTTTGTTTTTTTTTTTTTTTCCACTCTCCTAGCCAGCAGAGCTACGTTAACAAAATTTAGTAGCACAGATCCGGTCCAAATCTTTCAGCATCCTGCACTTTCTCCTAGTTTTCGTACTTCTTGAGTCTCACTTAAGACCTAGGGCTGTCACCTTAATGGATATACAGCTTAGTTGCAGCCGTGCGCAACATCTGCATCAATGTCTGTTTCGACAGAACCCAAATTCCAGATTCCCAAGAAACGAAATAAAAAGGGCAAAGTGAGGGGAAAATAAATTCTCAACTCTCAGAAAATAAAGCGGATGGCTTCATAATGTACGAGAACCTTGGCAGAGTTAAGAAGCACAGGACATCACCTTTTAACATTCAAGTAAAAGGAGAACAAGAAAAGCTGTGACTTGACTGTCACAGGAAGCTAGAGGCAGTCTCAACTTTCTTCCTGGCATCATCTCTTAGATTATGCTCCTCAAAAGGAAGGCTGAAAAGAAATCTAAGGTTTTATTCCCTTCTAATACTACACATCATTTAACTGGCACAAAAATCCTTAACTAAATAGAAGGAAATTCAGCTCTAAGAACTGAAAAACGGCTGCGCAGGATCGGATCAATGGCCTAACAAAGGATTCTCTCTCCTGTGGTAGCCAACAGTGGATTCAAGGAAAGAGCAAGTCTTTTTATTACCTTCCGAAATAGAAAAGTATGTCTCCCTGCACACATGTACTTACAAGGACAGAGCACAAAAACCAATCTCCCAATATATATCTATTGGGCGGGGGTCTCAGATATTGAAATATATTTGAAACAATGCAAAAAGCTCCTCTTATGACGGTTAAGAGAGAACATTGTTCTCGCACTTCCCTGATAATTTGTGTAAGCGCAAATCACAAATCACCACATTTTTTTTTCCTCCTTTATTTCTTGTACTCAGTCCCACCATGTCAATTAAACCAGGGTTCAGTGATTTTTTTTTTTTTTTTTAGCACAGAAAGGTGTCCAATACAGAATCAAAAGACAAATGAAGACCCTCTTCTCACAAAGCATCCCGCTGCATGTTAACAGGAACAGCAGCACAACACTGAGGCAGGGATAGACCGGGCCGTCCACGGTTCTACCAAACCAAAACAATTCTGCTCTATACATTTTGCTCAGGCAGAGAGCATCTGCCAAACATCATTTTAAGCCAGGGCTGTCAAACCAATGACACATGCAAAATGCAGGAAATGACTTGTAAGTTGCCTGTAGACGTCTTGAAGTATTTCGTGGAAGCAGCAGGCAGGCAGATCTTAAAAGGGCAAACATACAGACCCACAAATTGTATCTTACTGTACCCAGTTTGCGAAGGATCCTCTTGCATTCATCTCTGCTGAGATCCAGAAGAGTTGGCCACACCACAGGCATCTCTCCCTTCTGTTTGTGCTCCCACAGAGCTCAGTCTCGCTGAAAAAGGAATATAAACGCAGTAAGCGCAAGCCCAACATTTATCGATTTCCCGAGCCGATTAATGTAAACTCTCCTCAGCCTGCTCACAACTCCACCGACCCATTCGTTCCCACCCCTGCTCCCACCTTTGTAATGGCATGCTTTGCCATGCAGGAATTCAGCAGTTTCACACGGGCACGGACTTCCTACACTCTCTTGCTCAGCTCCATCATCCCAAGCCTTTTTACCGAGTTTCCGATCTCCTCCTCAAGCCTTTTTTCATGCTGAAACGCTCCCCGAATTGATGTTCGAGTCTCCTCCCTCTCTTTATGCACAGAGCACCTATTATAAGAACTCTTC